TTATTATTATTATTATTATTATTATTATTATTATTATTTATTATTGTTATTATTATTATTATTATTATTATTATTATTATTATTATTATTATTATTATTATTATTATTATTATTATTATTTATTATTATTATTATTATTATTATTATTATTATTATCACTATTATTATTATTATTATTATTACTATTATTATTATTATTATTATTATTATCGGATGAAAACGAATAATGATGACGAAGATGAAATTCGAAAAATTCTAATTGAAATACAACATTAATTAGGGAGATCCAAATTATTTAAACGATAAGCAAAATTGCCAATAAAATAAATAAAATAGTAAAATTATTCCAATTCTAAAGCATTCTTTATATTACTATCATGAGGAAATACAAATATTGATTTCATGTGTATTAGTCATTTTGAACTTTCATCTAAATAAATTTACTTAAATATTGGGTCTTTATCATTGTAATGAAGCAATGTTTCTTTAGCTTCAACTATCCGGTCATTGTCACGTATAGTAATGAAGCAATGCTTCTTTCTGCATTAATAAAAAAAATTTTTTCACGCTAAAGTATCACAAGCATAGTGTTTTCATCGTAATAAGATTTCTAAACTATAATGTAATAAATACTGATTTGAAATTCGAATTAATTTCATTAAGATGTGTAACAGAAGTCATCACAAAAATGCAAAAAGAACAAAACATTTCATATATATTGAGATATAATTTTAATTTTTTAATGAAAATGAATTGAATAAATTGAATTAAGCAATAAATAATAATAATAGTAATATTAATATGATGCATATAGAGATGGAAATTTTACGCAATTCAAAAAGGAGAAATATTGACTATAGTGACGGTGATGAGATGAGGAGAAGGAGGAAGAAGAGGAGCGGGAATGGAGCAAGAATACATGGCAGGGAAGGTTGACGGTAAGCTGTCGCTGTAGTGTCACGTCTTCTTCTGTCATCTGACGAAACTGCAAACACAATAGAAAACGACCAAAAAAGATGAAAAAAAAAGTTTGCTTATTAAATGAATTCAATTTGTATTTTGAAGAGTGTGCACATTAATGCATGCGTGCGTGTGTATGTATATATATGTGTTTATGTGTATGATGTGTGTGTGTGTGTGCGTGTATATGTATATATGTATATATGTGTATGATATGTGTGTGTCCGTGTGTATGTGTGCGTAAGCGTACGTGTATGTGTGCGTGTAGATGTATGTATGCATGTGTGTGTGTGTGTGTGTGTGCGTAAATGAAAAGTTTATTAGAATCATAAACGTTTTTGTATGATTGGTTAAAAATTGCATTTGTAATAGGAAAATAAGAAAATTTTATAACATAATATATTTATTACTTTTAACTTGTTTTAAAGTAAGTTAATCGATTATTTAAATATTGATTTCAGAATTAATGAACTGATGAATCAAACAAATGCTAAAAAGAAAACAAATTTTTTGCTCATATTTCAATGAAAATTCACTTCGTTTTCGCTCTTTTTCAGTTTACTGGTATTTCATTTCAATACATTCATTATTCAATTTCCATTTCATTAATGTTTTACTCTAATTTTATTGAATTAGCTAAAAAGAAAAAACAAAACAAGAAGGAAGAAGAAAAAAAATGATAATGAAATAGGAAATGTTAGCTTGTTTTGATTTGCATATTTCGTCATTACATTTAAAAATGTCAATATACCTCTTGTTATGCATCATCATCTTTACAAATGAAAATTTAAATTAAATATGAATTCAAACAAAGGTAATTTGTTCCATACGTATAACCTTATAAGATTACTGAAGTATATATCATAAAAAATCATTGTATTATTTCTTTCAAATTAATGAAAAAATTAAGCAGAAAAATTCATTTAGTTTACTTTTTTTTTTTTATTAATCATACGATTGCATTTTATTTAATAAAAAAATTTTTTTTCAAAACACACGAAAATTTC